AGTTTAATAATTTCTATAAATATTATTTAAAATTTATTTATTTCTATATAATTTTTGTTAAGTTGTGTCGCGAATAGTTGGTGTGTTGCTGACCAGTAGTCGAACAAGCGCCGCAATTGATGTCCGATTTGCAAACGGCATATCTTTCATCTCCAAAAATGTTGGGAATGATCACCGGGACCCACGTAATGAAAATGACTTCATCGTTAGGATATCATCATCGCGCGGCCCAATGCTAGTTCTGTACCGTATGAAAACACCTGAGTCGTCAATTGACAGTTGTGCGCCGCACTTAACCCCCCACGTGAAATGATAGAAATTAAAGATAACGTCAACTTTCACGTATTAATTAAGCATGATAATATAAGAATGATTTTTTAATATAATTTTTATATAATATTAAATTCACAATTCTTTAATAATATCTCTTGAATCATTAGACTTAAGAATTAACTCCTAATAATATTTTTTTTATAAAAGTTAAATATCGTATATAAGTTGGCGAAAGATAAGTTGAACCGGCCAAAGTGCCTTTCAAAAAAAAGAAAAGTTTAATTGTAAAGAGCGTATTTAACTTTTCGGTCAGCTAATGGTCCACCAACGACCTTAGGGACTCGAGCTCCAAACATAAATTAATGCTCTAAAAATGTCATAATTAATCATGAGTTTAAATGTCGCGAATGTATAATCAAATCCTAACTATATACATTATAGTAATTAACAACTCAAGTCTATGAAATCAATTAAAAATTGTCCGCGCAAGCTAGCGCGGATGCCAGCAGTTAGGACAGGTTGATTAATCTATCTCTAATTACATCCGTCATTTTATGTATACCTACTACCTTAATTTTAAAATATTATTGGAATTTGAGAGTGAACTCCATCAATACGCGCGTCTAGACTTTTGCAACGATTGGTTCGTAAGAAACTCACCGCAACCATGTTTTGAAAATGACAATCAATATCCACCCATTATTCGGCAGAGCCAACCCACATGCATGTGAAGACAATGCTTAATAGAATTATCCATGTGATCTCGCTGTTATAAATACACACAGGGTATCTAAAAGAATCCGCACTCATCAAGTTCTCAAAATCAAAGCATTTGTACGTAGCCAACACCCAGCAGTAGCAATGGTGGAGATCTTTAGGAAGACCGTCGAGAAACCTGAGATTAGCGGAAGAAGATTTAAGCTTTCCAGTTCAGAGTTTCTAAAACTTCCACCTGAGGAGTTCAAGGTTAGAGATAATCGGAGTAGGAGCATATGGAGGTGTCGCCGCAGCGAAAGGTCCCGTCAGTACTATCTCAATGTTATAGATGGGAAGGATTTTAATCTCAATGTTATAGATGGGAATGATTTTGTGAGAGACATGAAAGCCGGTCGTAGCGAGATCAGCCTTCACAACGAATCTGATTCTCTCATTATTGCGGAAGCTGATCCTTCCAAGCCGGACGCTACTACGCCGTACAAATTTGAAGTCGAAAATAATTGAGAAAGTGGTTGTTCATATTTTTATACATGCTTTTAAGTATTCTCTAGTTAAGTGTCTTTTTAGAGTAAAAAATGTTTTTTTCATGGTTGCTCTACACTTAAAAATATTAATTTAGGATTGAATTAATGAAAACAAAAATATTATCAATAATTAATATTTTTGTCAAATTTCATTCCAAATTAATGTTTTTAAATATAGTACAAACTGAAAAACAATATTATCATTTTAGTATAAGGTAAGATGCTATTTATTAAATCTATAATAAACTCGGTTATCCTTTTTATAACTATGTAGAAGGATGCTGGTTTTGTATCGTTTGTTGTCTAGAGTAATGGTGTTTATGTAGGATATTATGCCATTTATATAAAGCATTAATAAAAGTTTAAACTCTTTTATATATTGAAAATATAATATCAAATTTTTTACTAACTAATTGATTACTCCACTTATTATATTTTAGTACGAGTTTTAAGAAGAATATATATTTGCATCACAAGTGTTATCGAAGAGAGCAATTAGCACCAAATGAAAGACCCTAACTTTAAATTGAAAAGAAAAACACTAAAAACAAGTAAATTTGGGTTGTCGGCTGTTATCCCATCACCCACTTTTAGTAACATGCATGTTCAGCCAAAATTTACCAAAAAAGAAAAAAAAAACATGTTCAGCCGGCATAGAACTTTCTAAATTCATATGTACTTTTATTTTTGTTTGGTTCAGTCAAACTTTTTCTCTTATCGTGCACAACACAACCGCGCATGACATTCGTATTATCTTGGGTAAGGTGTGCGCGCCAAAATCCTTGGCCCTTGAGCTTGCGAAGTTGCAAGGAGAAAAAAGAAAAAAAAGAAGAAATCTAACGAAACAATTAGAATAAAATTAAAATAATAATTAGTATATCTTTCGATTCAATATACTTAATAATATTCATTAATTCAATAATTAAGAAATTAATATTTTCAAATTTGAATTTAAGGTGAAAAAATTTTTAAAGTATAAATTTTAATAACTAAATCAATGAATATTATTAGATATGTTGAATCGAAGAATATGTCAATTATTTTTTATAGAATATACATTCATTAGTGAGTAGAATCTCTATAGAAGTAGGATAAGTTTTTTTCTTTTCTTTTCTTTTTTTGGAATGGTCACATATCAGTTTATATATTTTTTAAAATTATTTTTTTAAGATCTTAAAGATGCATTTCACATCATTTTATTGTATTTAAAGATATGTTAATTCTAAAATTTAAATCTTAAATTTAACTTAAACTATATTATCTTTGTTCGATTTTAGTTTGTATAATTTGACTTTTTAATTTTTATATCTTAATTTTTAGATGAAAATTTAATAAAATATATAAATGACAATTAAATTTTTTTTTTTCTAATTGAAAATTTGATAAATAATGATTAAATTTTTTTTTTCAATTTGATGAAACTACTCAACAAGAAAAAAATATAGGGAAATTTTTATTCATATATTTCGTTAAAATTTTATTTAAAATTAATATTTAAAAAATTAAAAAAAATTAAAATAAC